CAATGGATGAGTTAGGATTATCAGCAACGGCGAGCATCACATTTTGACGGTCATTTTCGGTCACCGTTCTTCGCCTTCCTGATCCAGATAAATCTTTTATACTTCCGGTTTCTTCAAACTTTTTGGATATTTTACTTATTCTTTGGTCTGGATACTTGAAATAAGTTACATACCTCCTGTTGACTACAGGTTTTAACACCGCATTCAGTGCATTCAGTCATACTTAAAATTGCTAATCTCTGTTTTTCGCTTAAACAGGCAACCGTTTTTCAAATTAATTTAATAACGAATGAATTGGAACTAAAACGATTCACGTTATACCTATGGTATTCTGGTGAATTTTATGTGTTTATCGATGTGTTTTTTTTGGGAAAAAAAAACCTTTAAAGTAAGTAAGTAGAAAAAGATTAATAAAGAGTAAGTGCGTTTTTTAAAGTACAGAAGAGACTAGGATTGTTTAAAATAGCCATCAGTGCAACATAAAAGACAATTTTTTAAATTTTTATGACAACTACACAAAAAACTAGGTATAACCTTATGTCGCTGAATTCGTCTTTAGAAGAATATAGTCCTGGGGACCGCCTAGCCGGGTGTCTTGGCCGGCGGATTTCGATCTGCCGAGGCAAGCATCACGGACGCAGGCTGGAATTTGGATGGGTGACCTAAGGCAAGCTCGGGGACGTGGTTGTGGCAGCCTACCAGAGACTTGGGTCGCCCTACATTTGCCGCATGCGTGTGGTCCCCGATAAATGGTAATGAGAACAGTGCAATGAAAATCTCTGTAACTCAAGACCATGCTATCATACATGAACTATATGAGACTTTTCCACCAAGCCACCCGTGTAGTAAATAGGATGGTTTGAAGAAAAGTATTCGAGTAATGAAGGAGGGTGTACAAGGGGCTCTTAAGGCCTAAGTGCCGTGGCGGAAAAACAATTTCACCACCCTCCGACATACATACATACATACATACATACATACATACATACATATATACATACATACATACATACATACATAGAGCGTCCTATTCTCAGTTAAACATAGCTAAAAATAGAAAATATTGCAGAAAAGTGATAATTTCTATTTACTACTTTACCTGTTTCAGCGATTTTTAAAAATCTGAAATGGAAAAAAATATGAATTTTGTTCCATTATTTTGGGACACAATATATATTCATTTAAAACTTTTTTAAGTGAAATAAATAGCTCTTGTAAAATTTTTTGTTGCTAAATGTGTATGGAATATCTTATTTTGTATTTATAAAAAAAGTTACACAGACAAGTGTGCTACATTATTGAAGACTTTTTTTATAACCTACTATATCTATTTAACCAGTTTTGCTAAATATTCATACTATTTTTAAAGCAAAAATGTGATGTCGAGAAGAATGACTAGTTTTTTTAAATATTCACTAAGTAAATATAACTACATCCTTAAACTAAAAGGCGAACCTGTACATTTAAATATTAATATAGGTAAACATATAAACATATAAGGTAATGGATATTAATAAATTTAAATGTTCAGTTAAAACATTGTTAGTGACAAAAGTGCTATTACAGTATTAAAGATTTTACCGATGACAATCTATAACTACCTATGTATTATCTGTTTGTTTGTCTTGATTTATGACCTGTCCTATACATGTAAATGTCTAAATGGATTAATAAATATTATTATTATTGTAAATACGAGCAATTTTTAAACACTACTGTTATAAAAATGGTTTCTATTTTATTCTAACATCGCAATTTCACATTTTTTGCAGTTTTCTTAGTATTTTTTTTACAAAATTTTGACTGATGCATTGTTACTGTGAATGATTTTGTATTGATTCTAATAGTCTACTAGGGGTAGGACTGAATTATAAAACTAGATATGTACTTACTGATAGAATTGAGCTTTATACAAAATTTGACATATGATGTACTAGTACATGCCCGTAAGTAAAAGGAAATTATCATTAATTGTGTTAAATACGAATGCATAGACAATGTCATATTAATAAAAACAGCAACTATAGTTTATTATACTTGCAATGTTAATCAAATTCTATTCAGTTGTATGATGCAATGCTACAGAGTTTTGTTCTGCAACTGCAATAAACTGCGCAAAAAGTGGAAAATCCAGATAAAAAAATTGAAAAATCGAGTTCCTATTCAACATTAATTCATTCATGCTTTTTTATGCTATGCTTTATATGTATTGCAAATTTTAATTAGTTTTATACATTTTCTTCTGTATCTGGGAGAAGTAAGATACAGTTGATTTTGTATATGTTACTTAAGAAATGTCACTAATATCTACGAATATACAGTTATCCAGCATAGTCCTAAATTGTCCTCTAATTCAGGACTATCTCTTATTGTCCTCTTATAAGGGCAACTAATACATTAAAACATAAGGACAGCAAATTTTTTTCCGAAAATGAACGAAAATGAAGATTTGAGAACGGTAGATATTTTTTGCGGCAATTTAAAAACCTTTAAAGATATCTTATTAATATTTTACACTTAAGCTTAGGGGACCCACACAGTAATTTACGCAGTGCTTTCTGCAAGGGGTAGTTTTACATCGGTGACTATCACTATTTCATTTCCAACTTAGATGAAATAAATAGTTTAGTTGTATTATCCCTTAAAAAAGTTTTAACTTGTTTTTGCGAAGAAAATAAAATCAGCGGAGCTCCTAAAAGTATACAGGGTGTTAAAATAAAGTGTAAAAAAAATTGAAAGCAAAGGGTACTCCCAAAAATAATTAAAACATTTGTATGAATGTATGTAGAGAAACGATTCGTTTCCGACATGTTAAAGTATTCGTGAGAAAATGTTTTTGTTTATCTTAAATTCGAGGTCAATTCGTTTTGAAAAGTTGCAGAATGTGATTTTAAAACCCATACTGATGTTCTTTACATTCTAACGCATTTGATGACACACATGACAACACAAAATTTAACTTTTCTGTCTTAATAAATGATACAATAGCTCTGAAAAAGTAATATGCAGAAATGCATATTATGTATGTAATAATATAGGTCATCGTCACTATTCCGAGGCTTATCCTAATTGTCTACCTGCTGCTCGAATCGTCATTAGATTCCATCACCGGCACCGGGGCTGTAGAAAATAATTGTAAAAACACCATCGACTTTGAAAGATCAGATCTGTTTCCACATCCGAGGTAGAAGAGCATTTTGGACAAACTGGGGGTAAAACCGTGGACCCAGACTAAGACGGATTGCAGCTCATGTAGCTATTAACCACCGTATTGCTTGAAGAACTCTTAGCGAACAGCTAATCTACCACACGAAATCCACAAGACTGTGACGTCACGTTGTAGATGTTTTGGTTTAAACGCCTGAACTGGCACTTTAGAAGACAGACTACTCAATGCATATCTACACAATTTAAGAGAGGTGTTACGGACGTTACTTGAACACATGCCAATGAATGTCAAGCGTGGTTTGTGGTGCTCCTCCTCTTTTCGGAAGTACCTAAGTGAAATTTAGAAAGAGTTAGTGACCATTTAGATCACCAGACCTGAACATTCATCACGATTGGAGTTCCTCGTGGGATATTTGAGGGGACACTTAATTCTTTTTGAGATGTAGAGCTTATATTGGTATGCCAAGGAAGACGGTTTGAATACCTTCTTTAATGGTGTATTTTTCATGAAACAAAAATGTTAAACCTCTCAATTTCATTTACCATTCCATTTTTTTATTCATTTTTAACACATTTAACACTCAGTACACCATTTAACAGTTATCTACCGACAATTTTTGTTGCCATATGAATACTGCCAAGAAGCGTTTTAAATCACAATTTGCAATATAGTCCAGAAAGGTGCGTCCTGCTGAAAATAGATTTTTATTTACCCTGCTCTTTCAGAAAATGCTAAATTTTTGTGAAAATTTCAGTATAGTACAGTTGAAGAATTAAATCCCCATCCCTAGGTTATTACATTTATAATCACCATATTGAAATTATACTTATTAAACAACCTGTATAGTCTTTCGGATCTCAATTGAAGAACCAACAGGTTGGCAGTATGTACCAGGTTCGGTCGCTGACGCAGCAACTCGGCATTGAAATATTTGAAAAACTTGTTCCCAAATTTATTTAGTCATACCCATATACAGGTCTGGTCGCCCAATTGAAGAATGCGCGCGCGGGCAAACGCCGCACATATACAGCCGTACAAGGCGACCGGCCATAAATTTCAGTTGTCGACAATTTGCCTAGCAGTGCAGTGCAGCAATGGGGAATTTGGTGTGATTCAGGTAATTTTAATTTATTTTAGGCACCTTCTATTAATCATTTGTATTATAATTGCGAAAGGGAGAAATAAGAGTGATATTTTGTTTACTAATATTATTACAACATGCAACTGAAACCCTTTGAAACGGAACAAAACGAAATTTACCATCAATATAATAAAATTGTTTGAGGACATAAGTAATTAAAATATGTTGTTGGTCAAATGAACATATAATAGAAATTTTCTACACAGAAAATTTTTTTAGGGACGCTTATGAAATTCATTAAATTTTATTACTAGGCGTTTTTATACATGTTCAACTGACTTCGGAAATACTATACCAAATTTGAATTGATTGGTTAATCCCTTCACAAGATATTTTAAATTTGATTTGATGACTTGACAGAATATTATCGATATTTTGACTATTCTACAAACAATTTTTATAATGTAATTTATTAGCAGTTTTATGCAGCCAATTTTCGAATTATTGTAATTTTTTCTCTGGTCGTGATGTTGACATAACAGCATTTCCAAGCATATGTCCATGTGAATTATTTTCTCTTATATTTCGGAACACCCTTTGCTTTTAATGTTGCTCACATTTTTTAACACCTTGTATTCAGCATTTATGCACTGAGAGTAGGATATTATTCACAAAACAGATCGATCTCAGTTTATAGGTAAAACTTTTCTAATTTTAATTAACAGGAACAGTATGGTGAAGGTCACTTACGTGCATAACCAGTAACACTGAACAATACCAAATAACACAAGACACTATTAAATGCGAATAAATTTCTAAATTGGCACATCCTCTCGCGAGCGGGCAATGTCAACTACTATCGTAAACACTAGAGGATTTCAAAACATTTTATATGCAAACAGGAAAAACAGTTATACATTTGCTACAGACGGACGTAAGACAGACCGCTCCTCCGCAGGTAGATTCGTTTATGATTAACTGATTAATAGTGGGTAAGTGACGTCTGGCCCATTAGCTTGAGTGTTACGTTTAAATGAGCGTTGTTGATAAATGCGTCGGGAATTCCAATCGTTGTGCGTTTTTACCCGCTTTAAGATAAAACTAATTATTAGACCTGCGCGTTTTTAGGTCATTTCAGGGATGGACTATAGTAGGATCGTATTCGATGCAAAGTAGATCAAAAATTTGTCGGTCTTTTATCAAAGGAAAATCGTGTCATCATTTTTAGGAGGCGTAAGATAAACCAGTTCAAATTTAAAATGAAATTGAATGTAAAATCTGAAATACCGCTGCATACGCACTGTGTTCTGGTAGTAGCTGTAGTCGCCCAGGTGCATCGAGTGTACGAAGTGGTCGGTTATACGTCAAATACTAACCTGGCGAGCTTTGCCGTCAATTAGAGAGCGCTTCCAAAAAACAAGTAAACAACAGTGGCGCGTACAGAGGTAAAATGTAGTACATATGTGGAATTTAAAAATCAAATTGGATTTATAATAAATTACATTTAAAATAAATAGTTTATGAGAATAAAGGAATTTTTGTAGGAACAAGGGTGCCAGACGTGAACTGATCCTTTCGTCCCTTCATAATATATAAAGAAATTAGTCAATTTCTAAAACCCTTAAAAGCGTATGGCACTGGATCCCTTGACAGGCAATGATGTATTACTTTGCATCGAATATGATCCTACTATAGAGTGCCAATACATTGTTACTGTTTTTATTTGGTAACTATTTAGTTAAAGACTTTTCCTATATCAGCATTTTGTCAAAAACGAATGATACTCACGTGATCTATGTAAGTTTCTTGTTCATAATTTGAAACCGCATTTTGGGAAATGTTTATATTTTCATAAAAAAGTATGGAATAGGTATGTCTTTTACAAAATAGTTGCAACTAAATTCATGTTGGAAATAAACAGTGAAATAGGAGGAGGAACAATTAACAATTTTGAAGTTTAAGCTTTACATAAAGCTTAAGATTAGCGAGTTAGGTTAAGTTTCTCCCTCTCTCTCTCTCTCTTTTTCCGCATTTTCGAGTTAATATTTGTAGGTACATGTTTCGTTTCTAGAATCAATTTTCTACATTAAAGTTAGGTTAGGTTAGGAGATTTTTCATGTAATACACATAAAGAAAAACTTAACCCTACTTTACGGATCGCCACATAAAAGATTGAATTACATTTGAAGGAAAACTTAACCTGACCTAACCTATCTTCATGTAGATATACAGGGTGTTTGGAAAAGTTGATACAAAATTTAAGGAGGTGAAAGTGAAAGTAGTTTTAGTGCTAAAAAAATAACGGTACAGTAAATATCGGCCAGCATATTTTTTTGTTGCTTGTGCAGTGACTAAACATTATTTTTTTAACAACTTCATTTGGAACCTTCTTGACTCTAGCGACATTTCTTTTGGATGAGCAGTTTAGTCAGAAAAAAATAATAATTTAATTATTAGTTAATGAATTCATTTTAACTCCAAAATTTTGCTAGGAACCCCGCTCGACCCCGCTCCGTCCGAGGTCAAGGTGAAGTAAGCGAAACTGTCTGTTATGATACTGACATTGAAACTGTAGCATTGGAACTTCAAATGGAAATTATTGATTTACAGTGCAGTGATATGATTAAGAACAAATATCAAAACTCATCTTTGTTGGAATTTTATAAGAGTCTTCCACTGGTACAATTTGATAATTTGCGTAAATTTGCTCGTGGGCTATTTTCTGTTTTTTGGTACTACTTACTTGTGTGAGAAAACATTCTCCAAAATGAAGTACACCAAGAATGTTTACAGATCTAAGTTAACCGATGACAATCTTTTTTAATAACACAGCCACACAAAAATCCACTTTCGGACCCAGAGGTCAGACCATGTTTATTATACGTTTCTTGGGTCGCTGAGGTCCATTTAACCCCATCACCTCACGATTTTTCATAACCTCAAAAAAAGAAACGATATTCTGAACAACAGTTTTGATGAACAACTTATAACTAGCAAAATGCCAACAATCTCTGTAACAAACAAATAATTAAGACAACAAAAACAGGCATACTATATTATATCTTATTTTTGTTTCCGCTGAATTAAATAAATAAGTTGTATTCTCTAAGAAAAGGTTAGTTTTAGGCAAAAAATTCAAGACACCTTTTTTGTTGTAAAATGTTAGGCGAGTCCGAAAATAAAAATTAAAAGAAATCCAATGGCGTTCTACCTTTTATGACAAAAACGTCGACTGATTCACGTCTAACTACGCCACTGGCGGCAGATAAAAATTGACTTTATACTAAAAATGCAGCTCTTTACCAACGTGCAATAACTGCCACATTTTTAGAACCTAACATTGACTGTTCCAAATTTGTTATAATGACGAAACTCATTACTAGAATTTAAAAACTGAGACAGTTGTAGAACTGATAAAAAGTCGACTAAAAATATGGTATTGAAAGATACAATGAATGTGTTGGGAAAAATCAAGAAATAGTTTAAAACGACGAGAAAATGTAGTTATGACTTGTAGTTTCGTGAATGCTTTTAGCAATTTAATTAATTCATTCATTTTGGTAACTACGTGTGTCCTATTTTCAAAAATGATGTCATAAAATGAATATCTCATGATAAATGATAACTTTTTATTATAAACTGACAGTATGATAAATCTTGTTATCTTTGCAAACATGTTACAAAGAAAATTATGCAGGACTGTGTTGCCAAAATACAGTCAATGCCTAGCACGACTGTTACCTGCTTCTCGACATTGGTGGATGTCATATGATTGACGTAATAGGCCAGGAAAATAAGCTGGGAAATGGCCATTTCGCGATTTTTCGTTTCGGCAAGCTGAATTTATCACTATAGATGCTAAATATTATGTACAATAACATATTAGTTTCCACAGTCATAAAAATGGGGGGAAGATTGTTTACAGGGTGGTTAATTGTATAATTTTTACGTAAATTCACGTTTTTCGTTTATAACTTTTTTCCGTTAATTTTCACGAGAAAACATATGATACTTTTTTTTTCGTCTTCAAAAGACCTACAAAACTAGCCCTCGAGCGTCAAAAAATATTGATTAGATCAAAAGTTATAATCAGAAGAAGTTGATTTATGATGTTTGAATTAAACATTTATAAACTACGTTATTATTACCAGAACGTTTTGGCATCGCATCCTCTCATTCCTTATCACTGTCTAATAACTCACACGAAATCTCGAATCGGTAAGTTGTATAGTTTACAAGTTATGGCCTTATAAACAAATTAACTAAATTTGCAACCTGGATTTTTTTTTATTTTTTAGCGTTAGTTATAAAATGAAATATACGACACACGAACGTGATATCACTACATATTATAAAACAAAGTCCTTCGCTGCGTCTGTGTGTCTGTTCGCGATAAACTCAAAACCTACTGCACCGATTTTCATGCTGTTTTCACCAATGGATAGAGTGGTTCTCGAGGAAGGTTTTAGTATATAATTTGTTAAGTTTTAAATACGTTAGTTGGCTTGAGCCAACTAATGTCTATATGTTAAAGATAAGATACTACCTATATCCATTTTAATACTTTAAAAAATTGGCAATTATAAAGCGGTAATGTAAAAGCTATTTACACAAATACGGTATTAATCCTTATCCTTTTACACTATATAATTTAAATGAATATCTTAGGAGTAATCGCAAAAAAATTACGGACGCGAGAATAAAATTCAAGCGCCTCGCTTCGCTTGATGCGATCGCCGACCCTCCCCCCGCACCGTCTTGCCTACTGTTTAGCTAATAAGCCGAACGATAACGCGCGCGTGATCCATTAATAAACTGACTTGGAGCGAATGGAGGTGACGACTGTCGACTGTGTTTCCTTTCTGGGTGTTGTTGGGCAGTTATAATTGCGTTCGATATTTTAAGGTCACATTTTTGTTTCGTGTCTGTTTTCTTTAGGTAGTTAGATACCTAACTTACTTACTTATTAATTAAAATTGATAGTCCTGAAAATAGGTACTTTAATTTAATTCGTTTTGTTTTAACATTGTTGGTAGTTACCTATATTGCTTTAAAGTTAAGGGTTTTGCATTTTTAGTTTTGAGTTCGTTTGTTGTCTTTAGGTATATAGATATATCGTGAATTATTTTAAAATTAATATTAGGGTCGCATTAGATGAAAGATGATTGATTTTTTGTTTGTTACGATTTAACTCAAAAACTACTCCACCAATTTTACCGAAAGCTACATCTCCTCGGAGTAACATAGGCTATTTTATATTTGCCCGTGCGAAGCCGGGGCGGGTTACTAGTAGTTATATATAAAAAATCGTCAAAATTCATTGAAAAACAACGGAGCTACAGACTGTCAAAGTTGACGGCCGATTGTTAAATAAATTAGGTTGGTAGTGGCATGGCGCGGCGGAAGGGCGGGGGGTAGCGAACGACAACGAGTCCGAGGAAAATGACGATAATATTCATAGTCCTGCCGTTAAATAAGGGAAATTCGCTTGAAAATAATATATTTTCGTACCTTACTGTTTTTGGAAATGAAATGAAAAAGTTATAAGCGAAAAACGTGAATTTACGTAAAAATTATATAATTAACCATCCTGTAAACAATCTTCCCCCATTTTTATGACCGTGGAAACTAATATGTTATTGTACATAATATTTAGCATCTATAATGATAAATTCAGCTTGCCGAAACAAAAAGTCATTTCCTGTACTATAACGCCGTGACGACTACAAAAGGTAAGCCCCTGCATAGGCGTCGGAACTTCTAAATTGTAGTGGGTACCCAAATTGTAAATAACAGTAAAAATACCTGGTGTTTAAGTAAAACAAATAAGGAGTGTTTCTACTCATAGAAATAATGGTTGGTATGAACTTTCTTTTCAAGATTTTAATATTAATGTCTCTCTGTGTTTGATACAGCTTATAGTAAAATCGCTCTGGATGCTTCAGAATTCAGAGCTCTCAGGACTCCACCTAGGAAGTGGTGTTTACATAGATGCCTGTAGTACAAGTAACTAAC